GTTCGCGCAAAAAAAAAAGATATTTTGTGGCAAGCAATAAAGATACTAATCAAGTCTAATGAATGTGAACTACATTTAAAACAATTCAAATCTAAAATGAAGAAAGAATCCCAAATAATGATGCTATAACAAAATGGACAAAAAAAGGATGAACCTTATGGGCTAGACCACTATGGAAAAGCTTCCCAGTAACATGAAGCTTCCATGGTATCATACCACCGGTACCAATACATGGCTGCTTATCAGCTGTGTCAATCCAAAACCTGCAAACAGAGATAAAGAGCAACAATCACATCTGATGAATTTTTCTAAAACTTAGTAGATATACTCAGCTCCAGAATAATTTGATCAGACAAAATATAATATGCATACAGAGGTCCCTGCTTTAATTTGTCCAGCAATCCATCCTTCACTAATGCATCAACCCCCACTCCAGGGATGGATGAATTCTCTTCACTGGCTATAAAAACAGCAACCACAGTAGACTTCAGTTGAGGCTTTGTTTCCCCAAGCCTTCTCATTAATTCAGCTACAAGGGCAACATGTCCCAAACAATCAGTAGTTCCACGCCCTCTAAGTTTGTCTCCATCTATGCTCAGAGTGAAAGGATCAAAATCCTGTATCATAATGCAACAGAATCCGTATAAAACTTAGACTTAGTTACACAATGGTAGATCTGAAACTTTGTATTAATTCTACTTGAAGTAACTTATTCCAGTCCACATTTAATTATTCAAATGCAATCTATGTTTTAAATGAGCAAAATATGCAATATACATGCAATTAATATTTTTCCACAATAAATTTCAGATAACTCTCTCAAGTGACTGACCAAATCCATTAGCAAATTAACAAATAAATAGCCCACATCAATATTCAAGAGCAATATAGACATCGTAGGATAATACAGCGACAAAATTCAAAAGTCATCAACATATAAAATGATAAAAATAACAAATTTTAATGAGGAATTTTGGTTTCTATCAAAACTACGATGTAAAGCCTCCGTATCATCGCCATAAGCATTCTAATTTCCTCAATGTAGCAACTTTCAAATGACGAGTAAATACCAAAAAGGTCACAAACAAACCTAAAACCCACCTTAGCACCAAATCAAAACCATAAACCCAAAATACAAACTTCACAAAAACGGTTACACATTCACCAGAATACCCAAATTTTCACGGGTGGCCAACATCACACTCAACAGTGAATCAAAATTCCAGATTACAGAATCGAAACGAGTGATCAGAAAATTTACCCAATCACAAGGGTTGGCCGTGACGACATCCATGTGCATCCCAACGAACGACAATACTTTCCCGGGCTCAGTTCCAGGGTACTCCACGATGAGATTTCCCCTTCGGGGCTTGTAGGCGACGTGGTTGATAACAAGCGGGCCGCCGTTTGCGGTGCTGAACGGGCGGAGAACATCGAGCACGTGCCCCACGATCCTGTCCTCCTCCGGGATGAGCTCCGGCGGGTTGTTCTGCACGTGCTTCGACTCGCCGATCAGCTTCGAGAGAAGGGATACAAAGGAGTCCTTGTTGAGGTCCCCGAGTGTGTTGGTTACGCTTGAGGCAGCCATTATCAGGGTTTAACGAAGTTCTACAGATTGTAACAGATACACACACTCAGTGTGATAATATTATGAATAAATATAATACAAAAAAGTAATTATTAAAGTAGCTCAGCATAAAAATAATAACAAATATTGAAGTGACTAATGGTTAGAAATGCGAGTGCGTGAATAATTTTTTTTATTCTAAATTACATACAAAATATTTTAATTTTGATTTTTTATTGTGCTGGTGGAATTATGAATTAAAAATGAGAAATAAATTGTTATTATTTTTATATTTTAAATTATATAGATCATGCCCTACTAAACAAGATTGAAAATCTTTCATATTCAATCACCCTTTTTTTCATGATACGAATCTGTAAGAACTATTCCTATCGTAATTTGTTTAAAATATCACTAGTCATATTTATTGAAAGACTCGCACGCTCGAATACTCTGCAAGAAAGACAAAATATTGGCACTTCTTGAAATTTAAAGCAATTTCATGCCATTTTTCTTTAAACAATTATTACAAATGGTTTTGATATTCTTTTGCTCATGGCAAACAATTAGTTCATCTACACCAACTGTAATGACTAGCCTTTCCAGTGCAACAGCTTACCTAAAAAATTTTGGATATTTCAAAATAACTAATATAACTTGCATTTATACTTAAAACTATTAACATACATGATGTCATAGATCTCTTTAAGGAGCATGTGAACTACGTGATCTATACTTTAATGTCATTCTCTGAGTAAACTACCAACAAATTACTCAGAATGCATAAGAATTAGCAATAATATTAATAAAATCTGAGCCTGCAGCCCAAAGAAAATACACCTACGAGAGAGTAACAACAAAATTACAGGAAAACAAAGCCTCCTACATTAAACGGCGTTATAAGCAAACTTTTATATACTCAGTTTGCTAGAGTTACCAGCTTAGCATACCAAAAAATCCCCTAAAAACGAAACCTGCATGAAATTCGAAAGTGTTAATTAATGAGGATGCATCTTCATGGAGTTGGGCCAGCCCATGTTCGAATACATGGGCATATTCTGTACGGGCCTTCCAGCATTCGGGTAAGCTCCAGAGCTATGCTGATGATGAAGACGACTATTATTATCATCATTGTCCTCACCCGACTCACTCGAGGCACCCGGTGAACTCGAGCTGGCCTCAGTAGCTCGAGGACCAAAATTCAGCATATTTGAAGATGGAGGAGTATTGTTATTAGCAGCAGCAGCAGAAGAAGAAGATGGCCCGGTTTTGGATTTTTTGCCTTCTGCAATGAAGCTCCCAACCACAACCTGCAAGGAAATAATATATTTGGTCTTGTGATTAATTGTTGCGATTTCAGTCCTGCAATTTAAATTTTGTTGCAATTTCGATCCTTTGAGGACTGAAATTGCAGCAAATAATATTAAATCACACGACCAAAAGGCGAAAAGTTGAAATCTTTGGGACTAAAATTGCTATGACGTTAAACCAACATGACTAAAAATGAATGCATGTTTGCCAAATAAACACAGAGAAGATGGAAAAATATTACTAATAATGAATAATAATAATAATATTATTAAGAAGAAGAGTACCTGAACGAGTGATGCAGCTTTAAGCATTCCAGCTACCCCTCCGCCTAAAACTCGGCCATCTGTTCCAGCCAACGAGACACTCAGACCGCCACTTTTACTGTGGGCCCCATTACTTTCTGAAGTTACAAACGAGCCAGACAAAGAGATGATCTCAAACCGTCCCTGCAAATTGATGATTGTCTGCATTAATGCTCAGGCGCAATAAATAAGCACAAGATATAATTAAAAAAATTTCTCAAGTAAAGCATCACTATAACTAGGATAATCCAGCCAATCATTTACAGTTGCAAGGATTGTTGACCCACAATATAGGGTTCAAAAACCCAAAAGACTATCGATTTCAAGAAATGCGTCAGAACATCAGGGAATTAAGAGTATAACATGCTAAGGACTAATTAGCCTGTTACGAATTTCAAAATTTCCCAAGTTTTCTAAAGAGTGCATTTTCGAAGGTAACAGAATTTCTTTGTGTCATTTATCGAGAAAACAGACAAACAGGAATGTCAATGTGCCAATATTACCAAGTGTTTGATAGTAAAGAAAGAGAGAAAACTGCCCCATTTATGAACAGGTATCACTGAACCTTACATCTATGCTCATGTATTTCAGTTTCCAAAAACTCCTATATTGGAAAACCGTAGGTCCTAATTCATATAATACTTCAATTTCCACTACAATGCAATGATAATACTTGAAAATAAAAAAAGTGAAACATAGCACTAGAAAAAGGAACAAAGACCTCAAAAAGAAAAGAAAAGAAAAGAAAAGAAAAAAAAAAACAATGAGCAGAAAGAAGCAGTAGCAAAGGAGTGAAACATCGAGAGAAATAGAGATAAATGGTTTATGATCGATTAAGGGGATTGTTACAATACAACTTGCTGGACCTGAGTACTGATGAAGAAAATTTTGTCACTATCTACAGAAAAAACGAACCAAACAACAGGAACAAAATCTCATTTAAGCTTTGCTTGAGTTCAAATTAGAATATTAAGGAGGTGATTTGATTCGTCTCGCTGCCCCCTGGACACTTTCATTTCATTGTTTTGATACAGAACATTCTCAGAAAATACGCTATCCATTCTATATCAATTTTTTTCTGAATCTCATCAACACAATTTATATATAAAAAATCAATCATTGCTAAATATTTCCTAACAAAAAACACTATTCACCCCCACTCACATATTGCTAACTACATATATGTCTATATCATATCAACTCTCATCATTGCATTAATGTCTTATACCTCTACACAATCTCACAAATATGTTTTCCTCAGAACTTTTTATCACTTTTCCCATCTCTCTTTTTCGGGAAATATATCCGATCACAATGTAATTTCTCTCCAACAAACTTAAAATGAGCAATAACCCTTAAAATTCTGGAAAGGATGTGTCTAGATGCACTGGTTAACTAAGATAAAAGATACATGGGAAATATTGCCAAAATACCATTATATAATTATGTAGCATTTAAAGTTCACCATATCTTCAAAGTTAAAAGGCTTGGTGGGCTCTCATTAACCCAGTTCTGGTCAAACAACCATCGTGAAGATCCTATGCATATCTATGAATGTTGACAACTAATTAGAAATGAAAATTTCATAAACATACATCATTGACAACTAATTAGAAATGAAAATTTCAAGGCAGGCATCTGAATCAATTTTACACACACATATAGATAGAAAGAGAAAGCAAGAGAGACATAACAAGAATGAGTTTGACAAATTATCAGTAAATCTACAATATATAAAAAGGCTGTTCACTAGTACACACCTCATATGTCACTGTGCCGCCAGACATTGCTGGCTGGCGAAGGGTCACATTGCAGACGGCACCATTAGCAGATAGAATGCAAACCGTGCGTGGTCCTTGCTGCGCAAATGCCATAACTGTTGATGATATGTCCTACAATATATGAGAATGATAAAAAGATTAGATAACATTATCAGCTTTTTGTCAATGCATAAGTTGATCTACATGCCCTCCTCTCATTTTATTGGAGGCCTCAGAGCAAAATTCAACAAGCTTGCCTATTTATATGTCATTAGGAACCCTAAAGAAGAGAAACATGTCTGAGTTAATATAACATCACCAAGAACATAAAAATTCTAGAAATGTCGATATTCCGCTTTCATAACTTATAAGAAACTGTAACTTCATAACAAACTACTATGTTGGAAGCATCAATGCTTCAACACTAACGCACGCGAGATTGAGGCTTTGAACTAGTGTTGGTGAAAAAAAACCCAACTCGCCTCTTCCAGTCCGATGTCATCTTAAGAACATAAATAAATACAAGATACAGAGAGAGAAGTATATATAAGCCTGAAATAACAGACCCTCGTACTAATACGTAAGATGATGTTAACATTTCTCATTTCTCATAGATTAATATTGATTATTCCAAGATTCTGATCTTATGCGCCATTGAGATAGTGACGAGACATTCCCTAAAATTGATTGCAGTTCAGTTTAAAAGAACAATGAACAAACTCTCCATCTTAAACACTTTGCAGCCTGACAAGTCTAATATTTCCAGAGCTACCTTCCTTTCTAGAATTACCTTCGGCATAATCATTATGTTATACCACTATTGCCATAGAGGGAATAGGAAGTTTAATATCTAATTTTATAGAAACTACTTAACAAACCTAACTTCTACGATCAAAACATTGACCAGACATTGAAGCATTCGTTGAATTTCCAACATTGTGGATTAATATAATTCTATGATAAGTTCAGCAGAGGTTAAGTAAGCATCCACCTAATCTAAAGGGTTCGATGATCATCAGATTGGAGAACAGGCTTTGACAAATTGTTAGGAATTTAAATTCATAAAGAGTACCAGTAAAAGAATGCTTCGTTAAGAAAAATCGAGGACTAGCGAGTTACCTCTCCTGCTTCCACTGTAATTACATGAGGTGTAAAACCAACACCTGGAACTCCTGGCCACCAGAAAATGATCATTTAATAAGCAGCCCATAAAAAATAAAATAAAATGACAGAAATGAAGTATATATCTATAGGCAGAGAATTTAATTAAAGAAAACCTAGAGCATCCAACTGCTTCTTCACAGAACCAGGAGGCCTTCCACGGTTGCGTTTGCCTGAGGTGTCAGCCGAAGCCCCCCCACCGGAATCCAAGTGGCCGCCGCCGGCGGCAGCAGATGGGGAAATCTGGGCGGCAGGCGCGGGCGACAGACCCAGACCGATGCTGTTATCGGGCGAGTACTTCCTGGGCCGTCCCCTTTTCTTTTTGGCCGGCTCAATGTTGAACCAGCCACCACCGCTGGCGGAGGGGGACCCATCGGAGTACTGGTGATCCGTGGGTTTCGGCGCAGGAGGGCCGGAGCTGAAAGGGAATCGAGGGTTCTGCTGGTGCATCATGGGTTGGGCGTTCGCGGCGGCGGTCGGGGCGGAATTGTTGTTGCCGGCGGGCAGTGGGTACGGCATGTTGGGCGGATGCAGCTGGGGTTGGGAGTGTGGGCCCATCAGGACGGCGTGGTGGGGGGGCAGCGGCGGTTGAGGGTGGTGGTGCTGGTAGAGGTGGTGGTGGTGGTGGTTGGCGTGGGGTGGCGGAGCCGAAGAGTCCTGAGAATCCATGGCGACGGAGAATCTAAAAGGTAGATACTATTGTTTAATGGAAATGTGTGGGAAAATTGGGAAATGCAGATTGATTTGGAATCTAATTACTACGACTCGTGGAGAGAGAGAGTAGAGAATGAAGAGAAAANACTTGTTTGTTAATTTCTGTTGATTGGTAATTTCATTTGTCATTTTTTTAATTTATAAGTCAATTTTTAATGGTTCGTAGTAGTCTATATTTATATATTAAGAAATTTTAAAATAAAAAAAATATTAACTACTTTAAACTATGAATATATATAGACATTAACTCATTCTGTGCATTTGCACAGAGGAGAATATTTAAAAAAGAAAACAATATGAAAAAAAAAATACATAATCATAATTTAATTCATGAAAAAAAATATAAATTAAGGAAATGATTCTAAATGTTATTAAACGCTTCTTTATATGCAACATTTATGGTTTTCATATCGTCGGTATCACCATCACCCCATATCATTATCCTCAAACTCTCCCGATTCATCTAGAAAGAACAACATACAATTGTTCATGACTTAAAGGTTTGTCAAGATTAAGCCAATTGTAAGAGAGATTTGTCTTGACTCTTGTTGATCGTCATAACATAGGAGACCATGATAGGAAATAGTCTCCACTGAAACTTGAACAGTACCCTCAAACAAAGAAAAAACATAATAATTAATTTCTAATAATATTATTTTAAAAAAAATTAATGTCCAACCGGTCGAACCGATTGGACCGGCCCACGTCCGGCCGTCGCCGTCAGACATCGAGCTTTTTAAGAAAATGAGAAAGAGTAATAGAGGGACGGTGAATAGAGATGTTAAACGGGCTAGCCCTAACGGTTTCGGGCTAGCCCTAGCGGGCTTCGGGTTAAACGGTCCGGGCTTAAAAAGTCCGGATTTAAACGGGCTACCAAAAAAAGGACCTAACCCTAACCCTAGCGGGCTTCGGGCTAAACGGACTATGCGGGCTATGGCTATAATAATAATAATAATAATAATAATAACATAAAAAATAAAATAAAAAGAGTAAAAATTATAAAAAAATAACAACGGCTAGTTAAAAATTGTTTTCAACGGCTATTTAGTATTTACCGTCTATCACTATGTTTTATGTATTTCGTATTAGTCGTTCTGATTGACTTAAATATTTTGGTATGAAGTACAATAACAATATTGTTAATAATTATCTTTCAAAATCATAATAATCCATTACAACTCGTACTTACATGTAGAATATCAAAATTGTAATATACAAGGAATCTAAGGGGGGTGTATTTAATTAGGATTTTTAAGGACTTTTTAAGACTTTAGAAATCCTGGTGTATTCAATTTAGATTTGTTAAGACTTTTTAAAACTTTTAAAAATCCTGGGGTATTCAATTGGGATTTTCAAAAGTCTTACAAAATCCTGAAGTATTTAATTTTTTTGACACTAGGATTTATTAAGACTTTTTAAGATTTTGTGGGATTTCTAAACAAAAAAACCTTATATGAAATCCCACTTCAAATCCTACCTCCAGACTTGAGATTTCATAGAATTCATCTCGAAAAGTCTTAAAATGTCACTTAAATTCCGAATTGAATACACCCTCTAAGAGCATATTACTACTTGATGCAAACATTTACTCCACCCAACCCTAGTTAAACGGGCCAATCCTAGCGGGTTCCGGGCTAGCCCTAGTGGGCTTCGAGCTAAACGGTCCGAGCCTAAAAAGCCCTGATTTAAACGGACTACTAATAAAAGGACCCTATTTTTTTCTGGCCTAAACGGGCCGGCCCGTCGGGCCAAGGACCATTTAACATCTCTAACGGTGAATGGTAATACCCTTTTACGTTGTGTCGTATTCTCAACTTACGTTGTATTTATACGCCGCAATTATCTGGAAACCTCATTCGAGCCCAGGTTCTTACGCTGTGTCGTGTTTTTCACCCCGCAACTGAATAGAAATCTCATTTTGAGTCCAATCCGCTCTGAGGCATTTTATCAACCACTTATCGGAACTTCATTCTGACCGTCTTCAAATGCACTGAGACCAACGGCCGGAAAACATGCAGGCGACGATTGCGTCCCGGTGCTTGAGGATCGCGAATCGCGCCGTCTCTTCTCGATGCTCCAATCCTGTTCCACATCCGGCGGCTCTGCGCGCGCCACACGCCGCGCCTCAGCCCCTTCACCACTCCGTCTTTACCGGAGCTCCGAGTCTCCCAAGTCAATGCCGAAGGCTGTGGACCTCAGCCCGAACGACGTCGTCAGTGCCCAAGATCAAGGCCTTCCTGTCCGATTTCCCGTCCTCACCTCCTCAGAAACCAGTCAGCATACTAACTTCCAAAATCTCTTTATATGTGTGTGTGCGTTTCTGTATGTGGATACGTTTTCAGATACCATGTTGTTCAACTGGACGCCGATAGCTTTTGTGATGTTTTGACTGGTTATTGACAAGCAGGGTTCGTCGCCAAATGGGCACACGCTGTTTTCAACCGATGCAAATGGTGCACCGAAGCAAGAGCCGGCGAAGCTGGTGAAGAAAGCCGTGTCTACCCAAGGGCCTGTTGCCGACACCAAAATCATCGGGACTCTGGCTAAATACCTGTGGATGAAAGATAATCTTGAGTTTCGGCTTCGAGTCATTGCTGCCCTGGGCCTTCTGATTGGCGCCAAAGTAAGAGATTACCTTTTTTTGCTCGGACACATCTTATCTCGATATCGTGTCTTCTGATTCTGCATTCATTTTTCAATTATTTGGTGTTTTGTGCAGGTGGTGAATGTTCAGGTGCCAATCTTGTTTAAGCTCGCTGTTGATTGGCTAGCAACAGCCACAGGCAATCCTGGTGCTCTTGCTGAGTTTACAGCTGCTAATTCTACTTTTCTAGCTCTTTTTGCTACTCCAGTTGCCGTTCTGATTGGATATGGTATAGCTCGAGCTGGGGCTTCTGCATTTAATGGTATGTTATTTTGAACTACTCGAATGTGTGGTCGAGTGCTATACTATTGCTCCTAAGGTGTTGAAATTGAAGTCAGTCGTGGGTGTAGTGTGGATGCATTGCACGTAGAATGACATATGCATTTTATCTTTTATCTTAAATTATTTTTTCCATATTAAATTACAATTATTTTGCTGTAGAACTACGAACTGCAATATTTTCTAAGGTGGCATTGAGAACGATTCGGCAAGTTTCACGAGAGGTATGATGCTTAGTTTTCTTATGATTCCTTCTGTTTTCCTTTTTGTTTGACCTTTTCGCCGCTTATAATTTGTTTTGCTGGTTCTACTATAGCGGACATTCTTGTTTTATTTTCAAAAAAAAATATTATTAAGCACTTTCTGATGGCCACAGTTCAAATCAGTTTGCTAGATAGAGTAGTATTGTTTTAGTGGTAGGGAACATCGGAAAATTCTGAAGGTAGAAACAAGACTTTGTGGAATGAACATTCAATGTTGTGATTGTATGAGCATAATTCCTCATTGTTTATTCAGCTTTCCCAATTTATGGTCAAATTTGCATAACTCTGCAGAACGAGTTGGGTTTACCTTCTGCTTATTCATGTTTTGAATTGGAGTTAGCTGGGCCATAATTCCCCATGAAAAGAAAAGAAATAAAACTCCTGCTGAAAAAGAAGGATGATCTGGTTGACTATATTAGATGCACATCAAGGGAAGGTCTACCTGGGTCTTGGCAAATGGTAAGCATGATCCAAGTCAGCTGCTCCCCAACTGATTTCAGGTTTGGGTTCTGCCTGGGGAGGTTTTGGATCACTTCACTGAGTCTGACATAGCAACCTCGAAAGGACATCTGGAAAATAACCAAATAGTATACTGATATAGAATTGCTTTCCACGAAGTAGAAGCTTTTGACTTAGCTCATCCGCTTGCAAACGAATTGATTGTTGTGCTATTCTAAACTGTATATGTTTATTATACTTCAATAGTATATATATGTGTATTATATTCCAATAAGAATGCTGGTCACCATAGAATGAAAGAAGAGTGAACCAAGTACGAGTAAATTAATTTGATAAATGATCAAAATTGAGCTGAGAGTTTGATAGACCAAAATGCATTGCCAAATTAACCATTGAGCTGGTTACTAACAGTAATCACAAGTTTTTATATGTTTTTAAACAATACTGAAAATGACATACATATATATATATGTATGACAATTACTGTGTACTCCATGGGATTTGTGAAAGACTGAAGTTCATACCAAGTTTTAATTGGTTATTACTAATATGGGTTTCTGTTCGGTTTCAGAGCATACTGTGTTTCATGTTTCATGTTTTCAATTTTGACCTCCCATATGGGTGTGTCTGTTAGTACCTTTAGCTTATGGTTGATGTGATTTAATATATGAGGAAAGCAGTTCAGCAAGTTCTCAGGCATGCATATTAATTCATGAATTAACACACGAATGATGCTTTTGAACTGAACTGCTTAAAGTCTAAGTTTTAACATTGTATTTCATTTTTAAACAATGAACTTTGCATGGCCAGCAAATATGTCTGTCATTTAACTATTACAAATTATCCTAATAGACGATCTCAAGTTTAAAGTAGAGATATCTTTGGGCTAATATACACCATTGAAACTATTTCCCTGCAGGTCTTTTCTCATTTGCATGAGCTTGACTTACGGTATCACCTTAGGTAATTCGTGATCTCTCTTAGTAAATGTTTATTCTGAGATTCTCCATGCTGCTTGTTGGTATTTCAGTGCCATCTAATTGCATTACAGTAGTTTCTAAAAGTTCTCAGAAGTCCTTTTCAATTTGTTGTTTCACTTACTTTTATTCTACTTATCCGTCGATTAATTTTGTTGTCCTTTTTGCTGTGCTTTCAATGGTTACTGATGTGAAGATGTCTCTCTCTCTCTCTCTCTCTCTCTCTCTCTCTCTCTAGTCGAGAAACGGGTGCTCTAAATCGGATTATTGACCGTGGTAGTCGTGCTATAAATTTTATTCTAGGGGCGATGGTCTTCAATGTTGTACCTACTCTGTTAGAGGTAAGTGTCCTGTTATTGACTATATATGTTTCCTCATTAATTTCAATATAACAATTAATTACATTCAGGGTTTTATCACCAGTGTAAAACCCACCCAGTTACATTTTTTTTTTTTAATTCCTTTTTAACAATTATACTGTCTGACTTTCCAGATATCAATGGTTTCTGGCATTCTGGCTTATAAATTTGGATCGCCATTTGCATGGATTACTTCCTTGTCTATGGCTGCCTATATAGCTTTCACATTGGCTACGACACAGGTAACTTTTTCTTTGCTTCAGTTCTTTGAGGAAAAAAAATCATTACCACATTCGTTGCAGCCTCTTTTTAGCGTCTTCAGTTAACCATACTAGGAGAAAGAAGCATCTTTATTTATTAGTTTTTCCTGCAAACTTCTGTTTCCTTTTTTTCTTTGTTTTATTTACTTTTCAGTTCAAATTACTTCTTGGAGAGGCATAACTCAATTTTGAAGGCTTGATTCTTTGTATTAGCTCTAAGTTGGTTAAGGATTTAGTTCTTTTGTTGTTGAATATCCGCTGTAGTGGAGAACCAAGTTTAGGAAGGCGATGAATAAAGCTGATAATGATGCTAATACACGTGCAATTGATTCTTTAATCAACTACGAGGTAAGTTCACTTCTCTTGGAGAATTATTCTGCACTCCAACAAAATAATGGTAACTTAATCTACTTACGGTTTTTAATTCCTTTCTGTTTTCATACAGACTGTCAAGTATTTCAACAATGAGACTTTTGAAGCTGATAAATACGATGAGTTCCTTGAGAGTAAATCGTTTCTAACTTAAACCTCTTTGTTTATTGATTAATTGCTTTCTTTACCTTTCTACAGTTTAACCAGAATGATATTAAGTATTATGCACCAGTTGAATAAATGAATTTTTCCAGGTTTTGGGTCAATATGAATACTGTACACTGTGCTTCCCAAATTAATTTTCTGATTGATGATATCCACTTATTCAATAATGACTGTTGCCAAGACGCTTTCATCTTTGTAATTGGAACAGAAGGAATACATTTTTTACCCTCGTTGAGTTGCTCAAATACTCTTTACATGTTTGATAGAACAATGACAGTGTATGATATATGATAACATCTTACAGGATATGAAGATGCTGCATTAAAGACTCAAAGAAGTCTTGCCTTTTTAAACTTTGGCCAGAGTTTGATTTTTAGCACAGCTCTATCAACTGCTATGGTTTGGTGTTCCAGTGGGATTATGAATGGCAATATGACTGTAGGAGACTTGGTAAAAATGTCACCATCGCTATGACACCCCCTTTATATATTGAGTTGAGATGGCATAAGTTAATATTTTTTGTAATTGATAATATCATGACTGAACTATAGGTCATGGTAAATGGGTTACTCTTTCAACTCTCTCTTCCACTCAACTTCCTTGGAAGTGTATATAGGGAAACAGTTCAAAGTTTGGTGGACATGAAGGCCATGTTCCAATTACTTGAGGTATTGAGTCATCTTTTAGAATTATTGCTTCCCATTTTCTGAAATTTTCAAGGCTTTTCTAAATTTTTGTTTTTGCCTATATCTCGCTAATTCATTAACTTTCTAGGAGTTGAAACTTGACCACTTCTTATGCTTAGTTGTGATCTTGCTATTGTTACTTGAGCAAGAGCCAATTAATTATATGAGTGAAATGATGTCTCTCTTACTCCAACAGTTTCTTCAGCACTGTATGCCATTGGTATTGGTGAGAAAATAAAAGTTCAGTGACAAAGCATATAGGAAAAGTTTTTTGGACGGCATATGTGGAATCCTATTGCATTTATTATAACTGTCCGCAAACCAGGGTTCTAAAGTTTGTAGTTTTATGAACTAACCATTTCAATCATGACTTTGTCCTTTGCCTTCGCCTCCACTTTCTCCCAGTGTTCAAATACATTAAATTCCAAGTGCCTTTTATGAAATTTCTGATGTCAATTTAGAATGGTAGGCTCAGACTGCTCAGTAGTTATTGTTCTTCACCATTGTGGCGTGGCGTGCTCGTGAGTAATGATGTAAAAGGAATCCCTTCATAAAAATTACAGAGGTGTTTCCTGGAAATGTGTTTATGTTGGACATTATCCAGTTGCTTATGTAAAAAAAATTTTAGTTACGTGATGACTGAAGAACATTTACTTGGCAATAGCATTATCTTTCTGTGTAATATAATTTTGCAACAAAAATAATTTGATTATGTAATTTGTATCTCCAGGAAAAATCAGAAATTGTGGATGCAGATGATGCCCAACCCTTGCAATTAACTGGGGGCTGCGTTGAATTCGAGGGCGTCCACTTCAGGTGCACCCCAACTTTTCTGGTTAGAATTTCTTTTCCACATGAAGGTGACTTTGTGTAGAATTTAGGCACGCAAAGTCTTTCCAGTCATCTGTAAAATGTTACAGATGCTTCAAACTTTAGCAAGATTGGCAATCAGCAATAACCTTACAGCTATTCATATGTTCTAAGGGAAATAAGTACTGCACTGAAGCAATAAGCAAAGCTCTGCTGAATTTTGTTTTTCTTGCATTAGAGGAGTAAGTTGAAAACTGGTCAGAGGAGGGATGAAAAGGAAGAGGTAAATTGTCACATAAGTAAAAACTATAGCCTAGACTTGGATTCACATGCGATATTTCTGGTACCTGCCAGTTTTCATACCTGTGGGACCTTTTAATTTGTTTTTTTATCTGAATTTACATGTCCAACGTAAGGAATGAGGAATAACGGATTAGTTGTACGAAAGCTCATGCTAATGCATAGATGTTGGTCGGCAACCTTTTTAAGTTAACTTTTAAGGTGTGAGTTCTACAGAAGTTCATTTATCTTGATAGTAGAACATACAAGTTCGTTTGAGGCAATGTTGGGTTAAACTCCTCTCCGTTTTGATTGCTTGCTCAGCGTTAGGGTTTGTGTAGAAGTCGATTTGTCCCACAAATTGTTAGTTTGTTATTTCTTGTAAATGTGTGAGTTGGACGCTCTCTTCCCTTGAGCTAGCTTTTGTAAATATGTCACGTTCATGCCTATTTATAAAGGAATTATTTATCAGAACGGTTACAGCCTAGAACTAAACGATTCCTGAATTACGCAACACATGTTGTGATTCTCTTAAGCTGTTGCAAAATTTCAGTCAAAATTTGCAAATAAGAAGTCCAACTGTACGCCGAAACTGAAATTTCATCCTAGAATTAAATGATTCCTATTCATCTTGGTTTATGTTATTGTTTTATTAACATTGAAGTGGATAATATATCGGGTATCCTATAAACTTCATTGGAAACGTAGATTTTGCTACTTGATGCTCAACCTTTCTTCTGCTTATGCAGTTATCTGCCAGAAAGGAAAATTCTTGATGGTATATCATTTGTTGTGCCAGCTGGGAAAAGTGTGGCTATTGTTGGAACCAGTGGAAGTGGTAATATTTCTCTTGCAATTGTATTTTTCTTTTATGTTCAACAATGCAGACGGTGAGCTGTCATGTGCCTCTTATTTGACTAATTGCTGCTGTTGAAGCTGATTAAACATGTATCTAAATGCATATGCACGTAAGCTATAAACATGTTTCTCAAAGAAATTTGTCATGACTTATGTTGAACTCTTGATAATTAAAATTTATATATTATATATGATTTAGATTGAAAAGAAAGTGGAACCTTCATTCAACTGTATCTGACTAATAATGTTGTGTTCACAGCATTAAATATTTGTTGTTCATCTATTGTTGATGCAAGATGAACTTATCCTGGATTGTCATGAAAGAAATTGGAGTTGCTATTGGTTGTATACTACTCTGTTGCCCTAGAAACTTCTGGTTTTGTTATTGTTTTGTGTTGATGCAAGCTGCAAAGAAAGCCGGGTCTTGTTCTGTGCATCAGTGATATAGCAATCTTATTATATCCTCTATGCTTGACTGTTGGTTTGGGATGCTAGACATGGATGGGCAATTTTTACTGTCCTTTTTTTTAGTTCAGCTCATACCTTACTGTTGCCTCTCTTTTCGCAGGGAAGTCGACTATTCTAAGACTGCTTTTCAGATTCTTTGATACCCACTCTGGACATGTAAGACTAGAAACCCTTTCTTTTACACAAAATAACAGGGTTGTCTTTACCTTCTTGTTTCTTGTATTAAGCTACTTCGCTTCTTTTAGTGATTGCATGGTCATTCTTCTGTGACTATATCTTGATCAAAGCATATTCTCCCATCATATGTTGGAGTTGTCCATTTGTAACAGCTTATGAAATTGCATGCTAACTTGTGGTGCATTACTAGAAATGGAAGATTAAAGGATGGAATAGATACATTGAATATAACTGCCGATCAGACTCTTTTTTCTTTGATTTGTTGCACTAAGTTGTCTGTCATATCTGTCGATGCTGTTGACACCTTTATACTGGACAGATTAGAATAGATGGTCAAGATATTCGGACAGTTACACTTGAGAGCCTTAGGCAGTCCATTGGCGTTGTTCCGCAAGATACTGTGAGTTAACACTAATACCCATAAATTTGCTTCACGAATAACGATTTGTTGACTGCATATGAACCTAATCACTTGTTATAGTTTTCTGAGGAATGGCAAATTGTTTTTTATTGGCAGGTGCTGTTCAATGACACTATATTCCACAACATTCACTATGGTCGTCTTTCAGCTACAGAAGAAGAGGTTCTAGTTATATTTTAAGTTGTTAACTGAACTGATTGTTTACTTTGTACGATTGCCATTGATTTTGTTCATAATATTAGGTGTACAGTGCTGCTCGTCAGGCAGCGATTCATGACACCATAATGAATTTCCCAGAGAAGTATCAGACCGTGGTTGGGGAAAGGGGACTTAAGGTTTGTCCTGAATTCTCTCTTTCAATTCCATTCATAAATTCGTGGTGGCAGAATTTCAGGTTCTCCATATGAAAGTGTTGGGGGTGAACTTAATTAAAAGACATTGTAAGCTCCTAAGATCTTAGTATCCTACAAATCTGAGATCCTAGTTCAAAATAACGTATTTAATTACTTGGATAAATTACGATGGGGAAGCTTATAAAATGTCAATTATGGCATTTTTTGTAATTAAAATGGTTGAATTATAACAGAGTTGTTAAAGTTAGATCTTAGAGCATGTTTGGATATAAAAGTTTTTGTTTTGATTGAATTTTTTGTTTGGGTTGGTTAAATTTGAAAAAGTTGGTATGGTTAGTTGTTAGTGAGTATATTAAAATAATATTTGAAATAAAATGATTAAAATTAAATTGATGTAAAAGTGGGAGAGAGAAAATGTGATGTGATGGTTAGTTAAAATTATGTGAGTTGATGAATAGTGAATTAAGGTTGATGTTATGGGTAAGAATGATTGATTGATATTATTTAATTATATTGATAATATTGATGATAGTGGGGTTGAGTTAAAATTGAGTTAAAAAAAATGGTTGAGTTAAAAATGAGTGGATTTTTTGGGTTGAATTTGTATCTAAGCAGTTTCTAATGAATTGGGGTTCCACAACTTTTCCTTAGCTATTTTTTTACGGGCTTATAATAGATTATTTGGGACCTTATACAGAGCTCATAAGTTGTCAAACATCTTATAAGACCATTTTGGGGAGCTTATAACATCAGGCAAAATAAATGAGCGATGTGTCATCAGAGCTTACTGGGAGAAAATTTATTATTTTCTGTCCTGAAAATTGCAAGTGTCTTCTGCTTCATTTTCCTTCTTTCCCATCTTTTTTTTTTTTTTTNGTGGCTTCTGAAAAACTTTCATATATCTATCTTCCTTCGTTAAAGATGTATGGGATTGGCATCAGCTCTAGAAATGTGATTTTGAAACAGATAGTTGTACCATCCTAGTTAGTCAAGAGTCATTCTTGATCTTGTTCTGAAGTTTGATTATTCACCGTAGTTCTATTTGAATATTATTCTTTCTTCTTTGCAGTTAAGTGGCGGTGAAAAGCAACGAGTAGCACTTGCTCGTACATTCTTGAAAGCACCTCGTATACTGTAAGTATCTGTTGATTCTACACCCTGGTTTAGTTCCATTTAAGTCTTTATAAACCTGGTGATTAGATTGGTTTTCTTGCTATGTGGTCTATCCATGCTTTTCCTTGACTGGCCCCACTATTTCAGGAGAGAGTAGATATTCACTGCTTATTATAGTGACTGAGAAGTATGTTGCTCAGTGTTCTTTTTGTCTTTTCACGTTAACCTAACTGGGTAGAGGCTCATTACCAGCAGTAGCATCCCCAATTTTATTATTATTATTATTATTATTATTATTATTATTATTATTATTATTATTATTATTATTATTATTTATTTATTTATTATTATTATTTTTTTTTGAAACCTTAGGTTCTGTGATGAAGCTACAAGTGCGCTTGATAGCACAACAGAGGCAGAGATATTAAATGCTCTGAAATCGCTGGCGAATAATCGAACTGCAATATTTATTGCCCACCGGCTCACAACAGCCATGCAGTGTGATGAGGTATGTATTCAGCATTATCGAATACATGTGGGTATTTATGTATGTATATCATTTAGTATTTACCATAATTTTTATTGAGTTTTCATGAGAAAAGTATCTCCACCCTTTCTGACCAATCTTTGCTATATTTCCCGTCAAATATATTAGAACTATGAGAGTATGTTATCAAATGGGTATGCGTGTCTTTACACAGCGTTAAACACCAGAACAACGCTTTTCCAGTGGCCTACTAATGGGCCAATCTACTATAACAGACAACTTCATTTTGCTCTCGACTGTTTCGAATTTGTTTTTTGTTATGGTCCTTGGGACGAGATATACACTGTTTCTAGCTATAAGCACTTTTCATTTTGCGTTATTATGTTGTTAATGGCAGATCGTAGTTTTGGAGAATGGGCGAGTGGTGGAACAGGGCCCACATGATGTTCTGTTGTCGAAGATGGGCAGATATTCTCAGCTTTGGTCACAGCAGAATTCAACTGTTGATGCCCTTGATGCAGCCATCGACTCGGATGCATGAGTATGTATTGTTCGGTTATATTACAATCATTTTTTTTTTTTCCTTTTCCGTTGACTGAATGAGAAGGGTAGTTTGCTAAATGCATAGTTATTTGGGGTTTTTCCTGGAGCCAGGTCACCTAAACTTGTGCAGTTATGGCTGACTTGCATAGTTACCATTTAAAAAATCAATGTAGCATTGGAAGGGGTCTTTTTAATTCTTTGTTGTAATGAAGTTCTTATTTCACTCTGATGAGTTTTTTTCTATTTTCTTTTTTTTTTTTTTCCTTTTTTTCTTCTTTCTGAGATGGAATTTGACAACGATTGAAGAATCTCCATGAGTCTATTGGAGTTTAGATGGTGTTTGGTACATACGAGTTTGAAGAAAAATTTTCGAACTCATTGCCTGAAATCCAAATGCGTGCGTGACATGTCTTTGTGAGAGAGAGTTCCACTAACGATAAAGAGCGACCGATAGTTAAGTTGTGGCATTTGATTTAAAAATGCTCATAAAAAATTTATTGCAGACATGGTGTTCTTTTATTCCCATTTTCCCATCCAATCTTATTTGGATAATGAAAAACAAATATAATCATTAACACACATTTTCAATAAAACTCACTAATAATCCACATTCATAACTTTATTATCTTTATATCAAACCGAATTTAATACTTCAGATTTCGTCTTATATCCATGTACTATATGAAAACAAATATTTTTCACTCTAGCATTCAATTTATTCATTAAAATTTAAAACAATTTTTTTTCAAAGTACTCTAATTGTCAAATCTACACATGGCAATAGCTAACTCATGGACCATAAATAAATAAATAAATGAAAAAAGGTCATGACCCAAAACCACCCAAACCAAACAATTCAACTATTACTTTCGAAACTCTACCGTCTACAGATTGCAATTACTACAAATTTTCTCATAAATGTGCTGCTCTACAGTCTATCCAGCCTAGCTACTCACTCTCCCCTGCCACCCGTGGTCCTTTTTCCTCTATTCATTTATGGGTCTAATCTCCTGCTGACGTGTCATGCCTCCATTGGCTGACCCTTTTGGGTAGTAAAGACATCATCGGTGGGAATCTGCTCTGTCGCGAGCCACAGCTGTGCGGTTAGTTGCTTCCCATTTATTATTTATTTACCTTTTCTCCGCTTGTTCTTCTTTTGCTTTGCCTTACAGCTACAGTACACACTACACACATCTTGAAAGGGAAAAAGAAAAAAGAAAATAATTGGATCTTTTTTTCACCCCTTTTGTGTGTTTTCACTCGACAAAAGGGAAAAAGGAAGTGAAAAAGGAAAACCCCAGATTCGAAAAATCCCCTTTTTTTCTTGGATTCATGTATGTTTTTGGATAGATTTTGCACAAATGGAGGAGTTTTAGCTGTTTAAGCCTCATGGGCACTGGGGAAATCTTGTTGTTTTATTGGTCTATTTGAAAAAAAAAAAAAATTGTGGGCTGTTGTTTTTCCCAAATGCTCCTGTATCTCGGCGTGATTCTCTGCTTTCAAGTGGCGATTGGGCAGCGGCAGCCCGGCGGAAGGCAGTTTCCGGCGAGGGAGCTCGATTCCCTCCTCCAAGACTATGCCTTTAGGGCTTTTCACCGGCCGAGGACCGGCATTGTCTACGACGGCGCCGTGCCTGCAAATCTCACCGGGGTTAGTGTGGCGGCCCTGCGGCTGAGGAGCGGCAGCCTTCGCCGGAAGGGGTTTTCCGGCTTCAGGGAGTTCGAAATCCCGACCGGCGTCGTCGAGCGGCCGTACGTGGAGAGGCTTGTCTTGGTATACCACAATCTAGGCAATTGGTCCTCACTGTACTACCCCTTGCCGGGATACACCTTTCTGGCGCCGGTTTTGGGGCTTCTGGCTTACGACGCCGCCAATTTATCTGCTGTGGATCCGACGGAGCTCGACATTCGGGCCGCGGGAGATCCGATCTCGATCGGGTTCCCGGGCCTTGGGCCCGGCCCGAATAACCAAATGCCTATGTGTGTGTATTTTGGTTCAGATGGCACGGTTGTTTTCGATCATCTTGCCAACAGCACTTGCTTGGCCACGAGTCAGGGGCATTTCTCGGTTGTGGTGCAGTCGGCGCTTGCTCCGGGACCCGCTCCGGCGACCGCTCCGGCGGCCGGAGGCGGCGGCGGCGGCGGTGGAGGGGCGGAAGGAAGAGAGGATAATAGGAGGAGAATGTGGATAATTGTTGGCTCTGTGGTTGGAGGTGCATTGTTGATGGTGGCTTTGGGTTTGTTGCTCGGTTATGTGGGGAAGTGCCGCCGGAGGACGAAAATCCGGCGAATGGAGGAAGCGTCGGAGTTGGGAGTGCCGCTGCCGATGGCGATGGTGGGGCCCACGAAGGCGCCCGTGGCCACGGAGACTCGGACGAGACCGGTGCTCGAGAACGAGTTTGTGCCCTAAAAGAACTTTTTTCTTTTTTGTGCTTAGCGTCGTTTGTCTTAGATATTACGATTCAATTCGATTCTTTACTTTTTTGTTCTCTTGAATTATGTGTCGATCGATCGGTGTTAGTTTGTCGCGTCGCGTGAACTTGATTGTGGAAATAAGGTTGTATTTTTGGTTGGGTTGTTGTAGAAAGAATCAAGAAGCTGAAAAGTACATATGTTATAAGAAGGTTGCTTTTGTACAACAACTTTATTTGGTTGGATTTTGGCTTGCCCTTGCTAGGCTAAGGTCCAAGAGAGTGAGGAGCCATTATTGAGTGTAGATACTCAACATGGATCATCAATGATTCATACAAGTATGAAAGTTACATGATGAGGATGTACTTTTGCATCAACAATTGAGAACATTATTGGAGGAATCATATAGTGTGTTGTTGTCTTAATGCTATTTGTCACAAGTGGGATTGGGAACAAGTTTTTTAAATATCCAATGTCACTAGTGTATTGGTAGAGAGAAGAAACTATTAAAAAGAGGAATAGCAATGAAATATCTTTTTGAGCTCTTTTGATATGCTTTGTTTGAGTGGGAGTTGTATCGATGTAGGAAATTGTAGTAATCACATATTAGATCATATAAGTTCTGAGTGTTTTTTAATTATTTAACAAAAATTTAAACCATCGTTTAAGAAATGCTTTGCCTGGATCGGTTGAGTCAACTCGAAGTTTCAATGACCCAGGGTGCAACCTGAGTTGAGTTATATATGTTATGGTTGCATTCTCGACAAAGTGTTGATCAATTGGGACAATTTTTTTTTTTTTTTTAATTTATGTATAAAAATTATTTGCGAATTTTTCTGTAATAAATATTATGATGATGAGAAATGAGAGACAATAATGCTAAAACATAAAAAAAAATATGGAACTTACATATATGTTTTATCCTATTTTTCTATGAGCACTTTTAAAAAATAAAAAATAAAAAAAATTATTAATTTAAGCATTCGGTTCCAATCGATTTATTCGAGGTTGACCGGTAACTCCAATCTGGGTCAATGCCGGGATTACAGACTTAAACCATTGATGGTGTCTTAGTTTTATTTGTCACCAGAACGTGCCGAGTGAACATGAAAGCAAAGTTTTTAAAGCATGAAAATCCAAAGTACAGCTAAGGCATGTGTGTCTTTATGTGGAATGACAGCAAATATATGTGACAAATAAAAAACAAACACAAAATGTCAAGAAAGGCTTCACATTATATACTATGGTCCACATAAATTCCTCCTCCAAATTCTCATTCTCCATTTCTTATAATATTAATCATATGAAACTTTTGACTTGCCAAGTAAAACTAGCATGCTAACTATAGGATTTTCAAACTTCCCTCCAATTTATAATTTTTTTTATGCTATTGATACTAAAAATTATTGCAACACTTTTGATCATCAAGCCATTATTTATTCATATGCTTATAACATTCGAAATGTACATTAATGTATATGTATCGGTGAATACATTAATTTTACTTCACCTATTAACTTGTGGTCATCATATCATTTGATTTATTGAAAACAAGATCATGGTATGAACATGGAATACTTGATTATAAGAGGAGATTATGAAGATGAAAGATTTAAACTATAAGGGGAGTGAAAAAGAGGTCCTCTACGTAATTGTCGACACTCGAAAAGTATGTGTCCTCTTCGTGCTTGTACACGACTTGGGAAGCTCGCGCCATGTTAAGTGCGGCTTTTATGATGGCCAATGGCATCCCCTTATTTGATATGAGCTCCCCATTTAGATCTTTCCATAAACTTTCAATCTCTTCCAATATTAGCTTCCTCCCCTCCTCTTCCGTCGTCAAGTTTTTCTCTCGAATGAGTAGATTTATGCTCGATGCAAGGTCGCCTCGTTCTTGCTCCTCCTGCAATCCTCGTGTACATAGTGACGGTTAGCAATTGGTCCACTAATTAGTATACTTCTCGTAATTTTGGCCCGTTTAGCGATATTGGTTCGCTGACTTTTTAACGATTCTCAATTTGCCACCCCTTATTATAGGGACATTAACTATTAAGTCTATCTTGCATAAGTTAAAAAGTTGTTTCTCCAAATCTTCTCATTATAGCGTATATCGTTCATCCAATTTTTCTTTCACGTACGTAAAATAAACTTAAAATCAAAGATTTGAAAGACATGCGCGCACCTTAGCCGTTCCAAGATCGTCCCAAAGGCGAAGAATTCGACCGGCAGCCGAGAAAAGCTTAGGGTAGGGCTTTTTCATGTGTCGGGCATTTTGTTTGGTCACACCTTCACCTATTAGAAAGAAGAGGTGCACAAGAGCCATATACGCACCCGCAGTCGAAACACCATTCTCTATGTACTCCTCCAAATTCGGCGTTCTCCCACCATTGAACCACTCTGCCTCCGCCATAAAACCTTCAATCATATCTATCCACTGCAAAACAATAAATTTATTCGGATCGTGTTATGTTGCTACATTAATGTTTAAGAACCACGATAAATTTGTAATCATAAATATAGTAAAATCCCAACTTTTAAGATTCATTTTCTTTACCGATGATTTTAGGTATGGAAGGACACTCCATCCATTTTGCTTGAGCACTTTGTAGCATATTTCATTGGTGGTGTTGTAAAGTGCCATGTAGCATATTTTCATGTACTCCGGTAATGTGTCGATGGCATCGAGATCCCATCTGTACACCAACTTAAAAAATCCGATTTCAACTTAATTCGAAACGGAAAATGATAATCAAAAAGGAAAAAAAACAAAAAAATAAAAAAATCGTCCACCTTCGAATTGCGTGGGTGAAGAGAACGAGTTCATCCATTTTTCCATACGTGTCGAAAATATCGTCAATGACCAAGAGAATGGCGATGGTCTTCGCGAGTTCTATTCGGCATACAGAGTATTTGGGCTCCGGAAGGAGGCCCACACTCCACAAGAAGCACTCTAACGGCCTATCTCGTGCAAAGCTCAGCTTCTCGACTAGCCCAAGCTGCTTCCACCACCTGCACGTGAAACACCGAATTTTATAATCACATTAAATATTCATTTAATTCTTGTTATCCAAAATCATGGAGCAGAGGATTAAACACTTAGCCCTGTCATAGATCATCTCGAATATTGTTGTTCTAAATTGATGTATTCTCGAATTATATGTATAATAGTGAGAATTTCACCTAGTAATTTCAGAGAGTTCCAATTGATGTTGAGCTTGGACACGGTTATAGTCCAATATCGCTAGCTCGAGAAGGGCAGGATCGTGAGATTGTTGTTTGGCATATCGTTGAATGTACCGTCTTGCTTCTAAACGTTCCATCCGAAGGTGGCTCGGGAGTTCCAAGGCTTCATTTGTATCAATTTCATCGTCAGCCGAAATAATATTAATTTTGGCTTGGAGGTGAGTTTTGCTGAATTCTTTTGCTTCTTCAAGTATTTTTTCCCCTTTAGCTCCCAAATGTGATGCTTCATACAAGCTTAATAGCCCCTTTGTGTCCTCTGCCAAACATTCCTTGAATTTCCCACTTTTGGTGTCCATGAACTTGGAGAACACATCTAAGCAAGACAACAACAAAACAACACATAAGATTATTTTCTGTCGAGATCATTTGAGAACGAGTCGTAAGTTGAGGAAATAAAATGAATACGAAACACTCACGAATATTATATCGTCAATATTTTTTTTTGCATGAAATTAGTAATTAATAAGGGTCTCTTAGTACCAGCATTAGCCCGAAGTCCATTTTGGCGAAGTAATCGGAAGCGTAGTGCTGTTGTGAAGAGGTCGTCATTTGCGGAATTATTATTAGGAACGCTATTGGAGGAGAATGAGTACTCATCTTGTAGTGATGTAACTATGTCATTCTCTAAATAGTATCCGATTCCGAGTCGTTGGATTGTGTCGATAAGTTTCAATTTATCGATAGTTCCTTTACAACTCTGCACCTCTCTTGTAGTTTTTTCCAGCAAATGTTCTCTTCTCTTGCTCAGGTTATCCCCTTCATTCTCTTCTCCAGGAACTACCTGCATTTGATAAACGTGGTGGACATAGCAAATTACTATGGGGTAAGATAACATATAAACCATATTCATATACTATTACCTAATAAAGTTACTATGATAAGAGATAGGTGATTTATTAATTTTTTCTTTGTATGTTCAGTTCTCACTACAAAAAATGTATCATATTCCAGTGGAAAATCGAATGATAAAACGTTCCAACACAAATTACAACAAATATTCCAATATTATTACTTTCGTTGGAATATTCCGACGAAGATCGCATTGAAAATCCCATTTCAAGTTGTAATTTGATTCAACCATTGAAATCGTCAAACCCAATCCTTTAAAATTTTGTTCTGATTGTCTTATTGGATTTTTTTTTTTTTTTTAATCATTTTCTTGTTCTCTTAAGACTTCAACTCTTTAGCTATATATTGGTACTCAAACGAACAACATGTGACTTACGTTTATCTAGATACATGCATCATCATAATATTAACTTCATATGCAACATTGACTATCACATACATACATGTTTTAGTTCAAAGAATCATAGTCTAAAGTTTCAAATCATGTTTTTAACATTAATCACGTACACCCGAATTGATATGGACAATAAAACACGATTTCAGTCACCAAAATCACATTTTCAACATTCACGTATACCCGAATCGATATGGAGAACAATAAAACAAGACTTTAGTTTGTAGTTTTGTTTTATGTTTTTAGTTCAACTTGTAAGAACTGAATCATACACTTCAATTTGTAGGCTCTCGCGTAATCGAAATAATTTTTTTGTAACAATTCTATGGGAATAAAACTAAAAAAGAACAACATCATCTTACTATCCTTCCCTGTCGAACATGATTAAACTTAGAGGTGACAATAGTTGGCACGACAAAAAAACACTAACACGACACGTCATGATTGAGAATTACAATTACACAAACAAATGATACAATAATCGCAACCCAAAAAACACGATATATAAACAACAAAGGCATGTAATAAAAACATTAGCAAAATTTGAATTTGTTACTATACTTACATCAAGACGAACACGACATGATAGCAGAATTTGTCACTCCTAATTTAAGTCCATATATTTACGCGACCAACATATATTTAGGTTTTTTTACAAGAGCCATGCTTATACGAATGTTATCACTAAAAAAAATGTTCTATTCCACCGAAAAATCTTACGGTAATATATTCTAATGAAAATTTCAACGGATATTCCAATAGTATATATTCTGTTGGAATGATTCCAACGGAAATTCCAACGAAATATTGCGTTGGAATGAGTTTCCATTGGAATTTTAGATGTAATTTGATGATTCCAACGGCTATTTTTCTAAAGGTTTTTTACCGTAGGAATTTCCGTTGGAATGTGCAATTTCCATTGGAATTTTTATTTCGACCTCCGTTGAAATCGCCAAAATCCAACGAAAATTGCAATGGAAAACTCATTCCAACGGAATATTTTTGTTGGAATTTCCGTTGGAATTTCATTACAATATATTTGTAATGAAATTTTCCGTTAGAATTTCATCATTTTGTTGTAGTGTATATACGTACCACAACAGGCCGACGAACGTACTTAAGCACGACATCATTGTCCGTGACTACCGGTGTTGATGGAGTCGAAGACGACATGTAGATGAAAACTCGAGCGCGCGAATAATCAGTTTTTGTCAACTGGATTTTGGTAGCTTGCAATGGAAATGAGGTTTTATGGGCTACATAGATGAATTGTGAAGACAAAGGTACGTTGTTACTTGCGCATGCCATTACAACTTCTTTAAGGTTAACTTCTTTAAGGTTAATGTTAAATGAACTTATTGGTATGTATGTATGCATATTTGAAACAAACTAAAAAGGACGCACATGTTCCACGCGAGGCCAATAAAATAAGCGAATATTAAGAAAAAGGTGATTGGTTGAAGGAAACTGATAATAGGCCGCTTGTTTGGAAGATTAGGCTTTGTGCCACAATTTTTTATATTGGTACGAACTATAATTCGAGTCTATATAGTTAGGTATCTTCAATGCTCGTCATTTTCCGAAAATAGATTATATAGCTAGGCATCTTCTATGCTCGTCATTTTCATTTTCCGAAAATAGACTATATAGCTATCAGTGCTACTACTGTGTGCCTTGGCACACCTAGCAAGGTGTGCCGGGGCAAAATAAATACCCATTTTTTGCCCATTTTTACCCATTTTTACCACACCTATGCTCGTCATTCTAATATTTTTTATTAAGTGTAGTAAAATAAATACCCATTTTTTCCTACCGAATAGCGGAAGTGCTAGCGTTTTGAAAAATATGATTCCAAAAGTTTTTTATTTTTATTTTTTGGTATCCAACAGTTTAAAATAATGTCTGTATCGGTTTCTAATATTTTTGTCGAACATACAAAATATTGTATATATAAGTATGCCAGTCTATTTAGATTTTGGAACGATGTTTCGTGCAGGACCAAATCATAAAAATGTAACAGAACCGGCAGAGGGGCTGGGCCAGCTGGACGACCGCCCAGGGCCCGCAAATAATGAGGGGCCTATTTATTAAACAAAAATATTTTAGTATTATTTGATTTTAAAAAATTGAGTTTTATATTTACTTATTTCATATAATTGCATATTTTTATCTTTTTTTTTTTATGTGAAATAATCATGATAAAATTAATTAATAAGACTAGTAAATAAAATAATAAATTTTTAGATTTTTTCTTTTATTTTTTTACATCGATCAATATATCAAAATGTTAGTTGTGTGTATATATAATTCAATCATATTAGCGTGAACGTGCATATTAATGAATCTTTGTGTTTATATTATGGTGAGTTATGTGAATTTATCTATAATTGAGAGTTCAATTTATCTTTTTATTCAGTTCTTATATTTTTTTTAAATGGTTATTTAGTTTTTTGCTATAAAGATCATTAAATTGTAATTGACTACTGTTGAGTACGTACAATTAATTTAAACTGTATATGGTTAAAATTAAAGAGAGTTTGAAACTTTGTTTATTATATGTTTATATGTTTTTCACATACAAAGCGTGAAGGTGGTCAATTCATCTTGTTATTCTTTATGTATTTTTTTAAAATTAATTTATTAAAATAAGTTTAATTTTTTATATTTGCTAATTTTCTATCATATGATAAATATTTATGGATCAATTNTGGCTCTCATTATGCAATTACTAGTCAATTAATAGTAATACACATCTTGAGGGAAAAAAAAAAAAATGTAAACCCAAATTGACAAATTTGAATTCAGTTAATTTAGTCAACCCAAATATGTGGTTTCCTACATAGCAAAATCACAGGTAGAATATCATCTGGTCACAATCTCACCACCTGATGAGCATATATATATATACACATATATATGTATGCTGCCCTTTTTTTTAGCCACTCGTGTGTGGTAATAACAATAGTACATTGTGATTCCAGTTCCAACAACCTGGGAGAAACAGAAACTTTCTCCCATTCAATAAAAAAATTAAAAATCCCAAGAAAAAAAAAATTCGATAGAAAATGACGGTGAAATCGATGATCTCAGAAATGGACGAGCTCGTGAAGCGAATGCTAAAGCTAATCGAGGAAGACGCTGACTCTTTCGCCAAGAAGGCCGAAATGTACTACCAAAAGAGGCCCGAGCTTATTGGCCTCGTCGAGGATTTCTACCGAATGTACCGTTCGCTTGCCGAGCGGTACGACCACGTCACGGGCGACCTCCGAAAAAACGTCCCGTCCGACCTCCTTTCCGCCAGCTCGTGCGTATCCGAACTCATATCCGAAGATGACTCGTCCGCCTTGGATTCCGAAAACGAGCTCGAGAATCTGGAGGAAGATTCTGTGGAAATGTTGATCGAGCGGTTGAAGGCGGAGAAAGACGAGCTGGCGTTCGAGGTGAGGTCGAAAGACGAGACGATTGGTGAGATGAGGAAGCATCTTCATGAGCTCCACATGGATCATGTGGATATGATTGCGGGAGCTGAGGTGGCGCGTAGACGAGCGGACGAGTTTCGGTCGAGAGTCGAAGAGCTCGAAAGGGAGGTTGAGAGGAAAGAGGAGGTTATTGTTGAAGGGGCGGAGGAAAAACGGGAGGCGATAAGGCAGCTTTGTTTTTCGCTCGAGCATTATAGGAATGGGTACAATCGGCTGAGGCGGGTTGTTATAGGGCAGGTTATGGCAACCTGAGTTTTGAAGTACAGTGTGTTGTTCTGATTGTACTCTGTACTCTTCTCCATTTGCTATCTCTTTTGGGTTTTGTTGTTGTGTAGAATAATTGGCTAGGCCAGTTGGGTTTGCTTACTCATTACTCTGGTGTTTTCTTCTTCATGTTTGTTTGTGGAATAAGACTGATGTATGGTTGTGCTTGTTGGATTGTTGTGCAGTTGTTAATTTGTTTATGGATTTAATAATAAATTGCATGGTTTTGTTGTGGATGGATTTGTAATGTCCCATGATTTGTGTTTTCTTTTAAATGATGTCTGCATGCATATGGGAAAAGTGGGAGCATTCGATTCGATCTTATCGGTGACTGTACCGTTGTTATCAAGTTTTTTATCGTTGGATCAATATACTCATTCATATTATTTTTTTCCTGTAGATTAGCATGAATATTGATAAATTGTGTTTAAATATTTACTAGTACAATTACCCGTGCACCGGAGTTGTGGAAAAAAAAAGAGAGCAAAATTGCAATTCATACAAATAATACATGATTACACATTATTGAACGCGTTCTTATATATAAACATTAGTCATATGTGAATTGTTTTCATCATCGCAAATTATTATTTTAATCCTTTTTTATTTGTCATGGCTCGTGAAATAGCCGCATAAAGTTAGTCATGAGTAAATACAAGGTTCTTCATGTATAAACCCACATGAGAAAGAGATTGTCTCAGACTTTTGTTTATTGTCATCGCATAAGAAAACATGAAGGAAAAAAGTCTTCTTTGAAACTTGAATGGAATTCTTACATCAAATGGAGTCAAACTCATTCTAGGTATAAGAACCAATTCTCCACTGTTTGAACCAGTTAAAACTTTTGCACTGCAA